GAAACAGGGTCTCACTGTACAGGTGAGACAGACCTAGAACTCACTATGTAGCCCAGGCTGGTCTCGAACTCACAGTGATTCTCCTGCCTCAGCCTCCTGAGTGCTGGGATTACAGGCGTGTGCCACCATGCCTGGCTCCTATATTCATTCTTAAAGACTGGGCTCTGGGGCCACCTCCTCTTGGAATCCTGCCAGACTCAATTTTAGTTTCCTACTTTCTGTGCCCCCAGTGCATCCTCAGTAGATACACTGGGATTGAGTGTGTATGCATGTATAGAAAGAAACATATTTCAAATACCATGTGCCGGACACTCACATTAGTCTGTTTTCTGTTGTTATGACAAAATACCTGAGACTGCTGGATAACATATAAAGAAAAGAGTTTTGTTTAGTTCACAGCTTGAAGATTGGGTGGTGACATTGGTTTGGCTTCTGGTGATGGCTGATGGCAGATAGCATCACAGTGGTGAGGCAGGAAGACAGAGGAGGACTGAGAGGTCAGGCTTCCTCTTTTATGGCAACTCATTCTTGTGCGAACTAACTGGTGTCCCACGAGAACTACCTTAATCCCTCCTGAAAGCAGTGCCCTCAGTAACTACCCACCTCCCACCAGGTCCTGTCACTCAAAGGTTCCACCACCTCCCAACATTGCCATGCTGAGGACGAAGCTTCTAACACATGAATCACTGGAACACAGTTGAACTATGTCCAAACCATGCATCTCTCTTTCGTTCCTTGTCATCTTTTGTTTGTTTGTTTGGTACCAGGAATTGAACTCAAAACTTTGAGCTTGCAAGGCAGGCGATGGAACCACTTCCTTTTCATCTTTTAACTGCATCCCACAGCAGTCTTAGGAGTGGTAATAATAACTTAGTCACACAGCCAGGAAGTGATGAAACTAGAATTTGAACCCAAACTCTGGAGTCATGTGCTTCAGAGCAAATGCCACACTGCTGTCCCTTTGGCTGTCATCACCCTGTTATAACCTCTGATATCTTTCATTGTCACTTCCTTTGGAGGTGCACTCCCCAAGGACAGGGACTGAGCTTTTTCAGTGACAGGCAACATTGTATGAACCCATGAATGATAATGCTGTTGATAAATGAGCTTGATGGTGTTATGGTTTGTATTTAGTGGCCCCCGAAGCCTCATGCAGATGAGGTGGGACTTTCTTTTTCAGAGGTGGCTGAATCTGGAATGTGTGATGCTGGGGTCAAGGGCGTGTGATTACTAAATCACTACACATGAGTGAGTAGTTTGGCACTGCCCTAACCCCAGTAGTCAATAAGCTAAAAGGGGCAGAAAGGTGCTGTTAAAATCTCTCTTCCTCTTGTTACCTTTGCTGCCTGTGTGTGCCGTGCTGTTTCTCCTCTGCAGTGCCTGTTTGCCATCCCAGCCTCCAAGCCAGCTGATTATGAACTGAAACCTCTATGAACTGTAAGACAAAAAAACCCTTCCCTTTTAACTTTGGGTGTCGGGTATTTTGGCTCAGCAATGAGAGAAAAGTAACAAACACAGTGAGGTACCAAATAAAAAATAAGCTGGGGATTTAGCTCAGTGGTGCCACTGTCTGCCTCACAACCGCAAGGTCCTGAGTTCAAAACAAAAGAAAAACAAATAAAAAATGAACACTATATGGTATTGCAAGAGGCTTACAGTCTTTCTCCCTTCTTTCATCCTTCTTTCCTTTTTTCTTCTTTCCTTTCTTAACAAAATAGTTGCAGGGCATTTTAAATAACCCTAAAAATACATGCTATTATCCCAGCTTTACAATTAAGAAAAACGGGGTACAGAAAATATAAGACTCACGGCTAAGGTCACAGTGCCAGAACTCGGACTGTAAGGCCCAGCTCCTTATCTCATGCTCTTATTCTTTTCCGTACACTATGTGTCCAGCAGGCTCAAGGGGCACTGGAGACACATGGCCTGGTAAATAAAAGAGGTAGGTGCAAGGGACAGAGGGGACCCAGTCACACAGTGTTGGGGAGGGGAGGACAGTGCAGTGCAGTGTGGCCCCACTGTGGGGATGGATTACAGCAAAATGTAGGTGGGGAATCCACCAGGGCTCACCCATGACCACCGCCTCCCTGTTCACTGAAAAGGGCTCTGTCTGGTTTCCTGTGGCGCTGGTTTCAGGGTGAGTTGCATTGGAGGACACTGGACATCCACAGAAGGGCAAGACAGGGCTCACCTTCCCTGCATCCTGTTCCTTTCCACCTCTTCACATGCCATCTGCGGGGCTCTGTGAGAGGCTTTGTGAACCACAGGATCTCGTGAGTCACTCATTCTTTCTCTGAGGAATAAATAATATCAAGTTTCACAAAAGCAGAGCAGTCGGGTTTAAATGAGGTGTCACACAAAGATGGAGTGCAGGATCCGCTTTCCCTGATGAACTGGCAATGCTGTCAGGCGAGGCTTGCTGCCAGAGCTGAGCTTCAGCTTCCAGGCCATCAACACAGAGTTCTGGCTGCTTG